CAGCTCCCGGAGTAGTACATGCCATCATGCCTGGCTCAAATCTTTGTTTAAAGTGTCAGCCTGCTAGTTTATTCTTGAGAAGTGATTTAAAAAGATAAGTGATTCTTCTTACACTTTCCTCTACACCTAAGAATGTGTACGATATTTGAGAAATTACATTCCATGATCTGACCCATACTTTGGACTTAAAATATAGCAATCATTTCAATAAATTTCATTAACTTTAACATTTAAACTTAAACCATCTTCACTGTACTATTCTCATTCTCTTTTTTTTAATCTTCACGTTATTTATATAGATACTCAAAACCCAAAAGACTCCATTCTTGAGATTATTGCTCAAAATATTATAAATTGAAAAATATTTTGTTAAAATGTGAAATCTTGACAGTACAAAAGATTGAAACTTTACAGTATACATCTAACTTATTTTCTCTCTCTCTCATCTTGCACAAAAATCAACTCAAAGTAGAAGGTCTTTCTTTTGTCAAATGGTTCAGGACAAAGAAAAAAAATATTTTCTTTCAGTGACTTCTTGTTCTCTTACAGCAGGCTCAAACAGCATGCCCTGAATAGACACTGCTGAACTTGGTTGGTGGGTTTGAAGCCTTTTTTTTTTTTCTTCTAACAGCTGACTACTTCTTTTTTTTTTTTTTTTTTTAAACAAAGACTGGGTCAGGTAAAAGGAAACTGGAAAAAAATGGACTAATCCTTATCATATTGGTTTTTTTTTAAAGAGAGAGAGAGAAGAATGAGAGAGAGAGAATTTTTTTTAATATTTATTTTTCAGTGGACACAACATCTTTATTTTACGTGGTGCTGAGGATCGAACCCAGCACCCTGCGAATGCCAGGCAAGCGTGTTACCACTTGAGCCACATCCCCAGCCCGTCATATTGGTTCTAACAGCTGTGGGCAGAGCAGGCCTGAGTTCCTTGATTTTTCACTTACTTTTTTTCTCTGGATATGGAAATTAAGACTGTTTTTTTTTTTTTCTTGCAGCAATTTAAAGACATATTCCACTTTCTTCTCTCTTGCTTTATTTCTCTAGATGCATCAATGGTGATTCTGATTGGCTTTCTCCTGTATATAATATGTCTATTTGGCCACTTTTTCTTGATCAATAGTTGATTAATTTAATCATGATATTCCTTTGTGCGATTTCCTTTGTGTTTCACTTGCTGCCCCTTTATTTTTCACTGTTGAATGACTGCTGCCTGGATTGTCCCCAGCCTTCTTCTAACAAGTGAACTGTGGGAAATGTTCTTTTACGTGACTCCAATAGCACCTATGAAAAGAGTCTCTTAAAGGTATCTTCCAAAATATTTCCTTAGTGTTTGATAGGCATACAGATTCTTGATTTAAGGCCACGTTAAGAGATTACACTTCAGAATAGATGGGTTTATTTCCCTTCTTATTTGAAATGGATGTTAACTCCCACTGTCCCAATCCTCAACAGCAGTATTATCCGATTTCTTAATTTTGCTTTTCTCATGGGTTAGAAATTATGTCTCCTTTCTCCTCATTTTTCCAATTATCTAATGACTGTAAAGATTATGTTTTTCTTCATATGGGTTTTAGGTATTTAATTTTATCCGGTGGTGAGTTCTTATTTATACAATTTAACAATTTATTTGTTAGAGTGTCCATCATTTACCTCCCCCCAATTTATAGACATTTCTTATAATCTACTAAGTAATCAAGTTTTAAAATATCTTCCCATGGCAAACATCCGTTAACTTACTCTACAATGCCCTTAAATTAGTATAGATATTTATTTTAAAGTTATGAAGTTAATTTTTTCCATGTATTTTATTTTTCCTATATATTTTTGTTTGGGGGTTCTCATTAAGAAATTCATCTTGCTTAAATGTCATCAAGGACCCTGAATTTTTATTTATATATTTTTTTCTCCATAGAGTGAGCCAGTTATCCTCAAGATCTCATTCTTTATCCACTGATATGTGATTCCACCTATTTTAATTGGGTTTAGGGCAGGAATCAAAAAGGCTGCTTCTGATACGGTTCTGAAGATGAGTGAATGAAGAGAATGTTTATGGAAAGTTGAACCATCATTAAATGAGCCAACAAGATTCTCAGGATCTAGCTACCAGGAGAAGTTATCCATCCTTATTATTAGCAGGAAGTAGCTTTGCCAGAGCCTGGGAGAGGAGTAGGGCCATGAGTCACTGACAATTTTTTTTTTTTTTTTTGTGTGTGTTTTTTTTTTAAAATAATAAAGTAATAACATTTTCAAAGAACAAAACATGTATTTGGAATTTAGTGCAAAAACATCAAAAGCTTAAAAAATAATAACTTTGGGATATATTAATTAAGGAAGCAGTGTTAGTTTCTAAATTATTTTCTAGAAGATAATAGCTTTATATTTTTAGAACTTTTACTTTTTCTGTAATCTTGCTATCATAAATTCCAAGATGGAGAAATTTTAACAAAGCAGGAACGGAGCAGGGAAAGAAGTGCTTTGTCTTCTCCTCACTGTCCCCTCCCTCCCCCCCCCCGCACCCCCCCCTCCACCCCTTAGTTTCCTAACAGTGTTTCCCACAGGCCAGAAAGGAAGAGACCTCAGAATGCTCACTTGTCACTTGGTAGAGCTTGGTTCTACAAGGCACAGAATAAGGCCAAGAAAGGTGAGAATGGATTTGAGGGGATAAGAGGAAAAAAGCCAGAATACAGACTTCAAATATCATATTGAACTCCAGTCTTTTTCATTTGGATTTGTCTTTTCTTAGATTAACAGCACGATGTTTTTTCTTTTATTATGGTTTTATTATGTATGTGAATATCTAGTGGAGCAATATTAAAACTTTATAAATTAAAAATTTATAAATTAACATGATGGTAATGAAAATTTATCTTTAAAATGTTAATATATCTTCCTATCCAAGAGCATAATATAGTTATCCAGGTATTCGGGTATGTACACATATTTTAAGCTCCAAGAGACTATCAGGCATTGTTAATTTAAACAGGAGGAGTACTATTTAAAAATGTCTATTTGTAATTGTTTTCTTTTTGCTTTGTATGAAAAAATATCACATCATCTACATTTATTCATTTTCTCCTTGCTTTTTAAATCTATGCTTCCTTGTCTCCTTTACTTTTTTATTGCATTAGATAAAACTTTTGGTAATTTAGAACTAAAGTGAAGTATTTTCAAGATTTTTTTCTCATTAAATGTGATGTTTTAAAGATTTCTATAGACAGCTTTTAATCAAGATAAGAAATATCCTGGGCTGGTCATGATGTCATATCCTGTAATCCCAGCCTCTGGGAGGCTGAGCCATGAGGATGGCAAGTTCAAAGCCAGCCTCTGCACCTTAGCAAGGCACTTAGCAACTCAGTGAGACCTTGTCTGTAAATAAAATACAAAAAAAAAAAAAGAAAGGCTGGGGATATGACTCAGTGAATCAATACATCTCTGCGTTCAATCCCTGGTACCAAAAGAAAAAAAAAAAAAGAAAAGAAAAAAGAAATATCCTTCTGATTTCCATTTTTGAAGACTCTGAACATAGCTCATAATGTTCCTAAAAATGATATTCTTAAGACACAATGTAGCAATTTATCCATCACAGACAATTTAAGGGACCCAAATAATATTATAAATGCAACATTAATTTAATGCTTAATTTTCAGAGAGAGGCAGGTCAACATGAAGCTTGTGTTTGCTTGAGAATTATTGTTGAATCATTGTGTTAAAGATCGGTTTAAGGAAACAATCCTACACATGGGTGGAGTTGCCACCTTCATATTTATCTTAAAAGGGATGTACTTATTAGAGTGGAAAAATAAACTATTGTATGCAGGTTTCACTTGGGTTTTTACAGAAAATCCCACTGATGGCTACATGATTACAGCGCATCTGATAGTGGTTTCTTTGCATATTTATAAGATATTTAGATAATGCACTTTCTGAAGGGCATGTCTATGAAAGATTCAGTTTTGTGTCAAATATCTTCCCCAGATTAGAGTGTGTCACTTTCTTTCTTTCTTTATTTTGTAATACTGGGAATTGAATCCAGGGGTGCTCTACTTCTGAGATACATCCCTGGTCTTTAAAATATATTTTTTTATATTACTATTTTTACACAGGGTCTAGTTCTGTTGCCGAGGCAGCCTCAAACTTGTGATCCTCCTGCCTCATCTTCCCAAGTAGCTGGAATTATAGGTGTGCCAGTGCACCCACCTCATTTCACTTTCTTTATAATGCTTATAGCTAACAGTTTATTAAATGTAATAGATGGGAATGTAAATTAGATCAGCCATGGTGGAAAACAGTGTGGAAGTTCCTTAAAAAAATAAAACCATAATATTTCCAACAATCACACTACTGAATTTTTGTACAAAAAAATGAAATTGGTATATTGAAGAAACAGCTATACTCCCATATTTATTGCAACACTCTTCACGGTATATAGAATTAACCCCAGTATCCACTGATAGATTAAAAGATAAGAAATGTGACACGTATACAATGAAATATTATTTAACTGTTAAAATAAGAAAATTCCTGTCATTTGTGATGACATGGATGTACCTGGAGGACATTATGCTACATGAAAGAGGTCAGGCCCAGAAAAATATACTGCATGATCTCCATTTTACATGGAATCTAAAAACGTTGCATTTATAGAAGTAGAAAGTAGAATAGTATTTGTCAGAGGCTATGTGAGTTAACTTGATTTTGGTAATTATTTCACAATGTGTGTGTTATGGTTGGGATATGAGGTATCCCCCCAAAGCTCCTGTTAATACAAGAATATCCAAAGGTTGAATAATTGTATGATGAAAGCTGAAACCTGATCAGTCCATCCAAGTTTGGGTAGACTGACTGGTTGTTAACCATAGGCAGGTGGGGCATGGCTGGAGGAGGTGAATCACTGGGGTCATGCCTTGGAAGGGTAGTTCTTCCTGTGGCCCCTCCCATTTCTGTTACCTGGCTGCTACGAGATGAGAACTTTTTGTCTGCTGGCTCTTCTGTCATGATGTGCTGCCTCACCTTAGGTCCTTGAACAATGGAGTTGGCCATCTATGGACTGATACCTGTGAAACCGTAAGCCTCAGAAAAGCTTTCCCTCCTCTAAGTTGTTCTTGTCAGGTAATTTGGTCCTAGTGATGCAAAGGCTGACCAAAACAGAAATGGGTACCGAGAAGTGAGGTCATTGCTATGGCTCATCTGAGCGTGTGGTTCAGAATCTTTTGTAAAGGGGTTGCATGAGAAATTTGTATAATTTTAGTGTTGTAGACTGGAGGAGCTTTAGAATTTTGGAAGGACAGCTTAATGGGAAATTCTGGTGGGTTCTCAGAAGATCAGAATGCCAAAAGGAATGTGGACTGTGCTTATGAGGTTTCAGAGGGGAACGAGGACTCACACTATTGAGAATTGGAATGGAGACTACTCATGTTACATTCTGGCAAAGAACTTGGCTGCATTTTGTCCACATCTTGAGACTTTGTGTGAAGCTGAACTTAAAGGTGGTGGACTCATTAGTCTAGTGAAAGAAGGTTCAATGTAGCACAGCATTCAATCAGTGGCATGGATATTGCTGGCCGACTTTAGTCAGGTTTCCCGTGAGATTATGGAGCAGAAAGCAGAGCTAAAGAATTTAAAAAACTTGTAGTGTGATTAGAAAAGGATGTAAAACTGGGGCCACGGAAGCTTATTGAAGAGATTACAGCCCCTAAATATATGCTAAGAACTTTGCACAGACACAATAAAAAAAATGGCTTGAAGACATCTTAGAAATTTGTAAACCAAGCCCCCTGCAGGCTCAAGGGATATTCCTTTGAGAAGAGATCCTGGGGATATGCCCAAGGGGCCTAGGAAGGTGTTTCACCACTCTAAGATATGTACTCACAGGTCAGTGTAGCCCAAATCCCAGGGAGCTCAGCTACAGTGCAAACTGATAGCTGACCTTGGTAGCATCCACATGGTGCTTCTTCTGCAGGAATGCAGGATACTTGAGGTAAGGATCCTGGAGGTTTCCACCAAGATTTCAAAGGCAGTTCTGGGAGGTCAGGAAATCTGTACCACCATCAGAGTCCCTGCAGGCTGCCCCTGTGAGGGCAATGCATGAAACTGTGAAGGACATGCTAACATTTGAATGGAGACCACAGAAATTAAGAGATGACATTTACTGTTGGCTGGGAAAGCTGTTGGCTTCAGAAAAAGCCAGGGTAAAAGAGTCCATGTGTGCTGCAACCAGCAAGGTCAAAGGGGTGGGGATTCCCAGCTCTTTTGGAATGGATATCTCTCCAGCATGTGTCCTAGATGCTGTATGCAAAATTATAGGACCTGTTTGCCCAGCCCGGTTTCAGTCTTGTTTTGGCCTCATCCCTTCTTTCTATGTCCCTATTTCTCTTTTGTAGACTGAAAATGTTTACTCGGAGCCACTGTATCTTGGTTATATAGAACTTGCTTTTGAATTTTTATAGGGACTCACAACCAAAAGTTTGCCTTGAGTCTTAGAGATGACTTTGGACTTGGACTTTTGGGCAATGCTAAACTGTTAAGACTGGATTTTGCACTGTGAGATAAACATGAGTTTTTTGGGGGCCAGTGGCAGAATATTATGGTTTGGATATGAGTTGTCCCCCAAAAGTTACTGTTAATATAGGAATATTCAGAGGTAAAATGTTAGGTTATGAGAACTGAAACGTAATCAGTCCATCTTAGTTTGGATGGGCTGACTGGGTGGTAACTGTAGGCAGGTGGGGCATGGGTGGAGGAGGTAAATCACTGGAGGTGTGTCCTGGAAGATTTGTCCTGAAGTCCCCCTCCCACTTTCTGTATCCTGACTCTGTCCTGATATGAGCAACTTTCTTTTGCTGGGCCCTTTCCCCATTATGTGCTGCCTCACCTTGGGCCTAGAGCATGGAAGTTGGCCATCTATGGATTGAAGTTTCTGAAACCATGAGCGTCAAATAAACTTGTCCTCCTCCAAATTGTTCTTGTCAGATATTTGATCACAGTGCTGACTGAAAACAGACTGAAACAGTGCCCATATATCAAAAGATCACATTGTATACTGTCATTGTGTGCAAGTTTTAATTGCCAATTATACTGCAATAAAGAAAAATAAATAAATATATAAATTTAATGGGGTTGAATTTAACATTCCCCTTTGCTATTTTATTCATAGTTTAATAAATTTGTCCATCCCATAATTTTATAAAAATATTACTATATATGAGTCCAACATTTTTATAGTTTTGTATTTCATATTCATGTCATTGATCCATACGGGTCACTTCTGTGTAAGATGTGGAGATTCTATATCTCTATTTTCCAAAGTAATTGTCTCAGCACTGTTTATGGAATAGTAATTATTTTCTTCACTGATTTGCAATATTTATCTATAATTAAATAGATTTCTACATGTGCCTGCCCTATTCTTAAGCTCTTTATTTTTAGAAATTATTTTATTTATTTTTTTTAAAGAGAGAGAGAGAATTTTTTAACACTTGTTTTTCAGTTTTTGGTGGACACAACATCTTTATTTTATGTTGTGCTGAGGATCGAACCCAGGGCCTTGCACATACTAGGCAAGCGCGTTACCGCTTGATCCACATCTTCAGCTCTAGAAATTATTTTATTTTTGATTAAAATATATATGAGTTGTCTGTATTAATGGAATTCAATGTGATTTTTCAACACACATATCCGGCATACACTTACCAGACCCAACTTCCCTTTATCTGTCCCTTTTCCCCTTCTTAACCTCTGGTAATCCCTTTTCTACTTTCATGTTGACTTTGTTTATTTTTCACATATGAGAAAGAACAATCTGTACTTGTCTATTGGAAACTGGCTTTTTTTTTCCACTTTTGTTTTCCAGTTCCATCCTTTTGTTGCAAATGACAGAATTTTATTCTTTGTTATGACCAAATAATATTCCATTACATATCTGTATCACTTTTTTTTATTCATCCATCTGTTGATGGGTCCTTTGTGTTTGATTGATCTATTTTTATATCTACATCAATATAAAAGATATAATATTTTAATTATATAAGTTTTATAATAAGACTTGATATTATTTAATGCAATATTTCTCACATTGTCTTTTTTTCAGAGAAAGAATCTTGGCTCTTATTGGATTATCACCATTCTATGTATGTTTTAGAGACATCATTTTGTAATTCGTAATACAAAGCAAAACAATAAAAACAAAATCAGAATTTTGACTGAAAGTACATTGAATCTATAGAACATTTTAGTAGACGTGATAACTTTATGATCCTAGTTTTTGCAATATACAAACATTTGTCTCTCTTTGATTTTAAGTATTAATGTAATATTTTTCAATAAAGTGGCATAATTTCATTAATAAAATTTTATATTTTGTTAAATTTATTCCTGAGGACTTCATATTTTATTGACTTTTTAATAAAAAGCAAAATAAGGATTATTCAGAAAAATATGCAGAAAATCCTAAAGAATACACAGGTATGATAATCGTGAAGAGATTTTGAAAAGTTGGTTAATACAAAACCAGTAATGAACGATTATATCACATAATTAATAACATAGCAGTTATATTTATGAAATTATTTATTGAATGTTGACATAATTTTAGGTTGTATGTTTTGACCTGTCATTAAGGACATTTTCCGTGTTTGCAGTTTGGTTATTACATTTTAGATAATTTTATAATAAACTTTATTACATATGTATCTTGTGCACACATATATTATTTCTATTGAACAAACATACTCAGAAGCAGAATTTCTGGAACATGGGCTATGTTTATTTTCACTCTAGTAAAGATGCTAACGTGCTTTAGAAATCATCCTCCTTATTACATTTCCCCCAGGAAATGAAACAAGAAAGCATTTATTTACTTGCTACATTCTATTTCTTGTATCTGATTGGTCCAAGTTTAATTTAAAGACTTTTACCACAAGCTTTTGTACTCAGGTCCTGTGTGCAGCTACTGGGGAATCTAGATTCTACCTCTGTGATATGGCATTTCCTTTGAATGCAGAAGCAGTAGGTGGATCCAGAAGTTCCAAGGATCCAGAAAGGCCAGACCTTGACTACAACAGTGGAGTTAATGAATGTCTTACTGAAGCTGCCCTTTACCATATGAGAAGAAAAACAATAGTTTGCATAGGAAATCAAGCCACTCTGGAGTCAGCTAGGATTCGTCACTGAGCCAGTGGCTTAGGTGATGGTCAGATGGGGCCATGAGTGTGGGGTGTGCATAATCAGGACTCTGCAAACCTTTTATGCCCTCATCCACAGCTGCCCTTCAGAGCAGTAATGTGATGCAGGCACTAAGCCATGTAAAGAAAGGGAAGGAGGATCATCACAGGGGTCCGGTATCTGTGGTTTGACTAAGTCATTGGTTGACATGAAAGGGAATACTCTCAAAACACAGGATTTCAAAATTGTTGCTTTTTATTTGTTTCCATGTTGGCATGGTTCTTGTCTGATCCCCCAGTGACTATTTCATTTTCCAGGTATGATGGCGCCTGCAACTTCCTCTTTTTCTGGGTACTTCATGGCCATTCTTCTCTTACAGATGGAAATGCTCACCTCAGGTAGGGAAATCTATTTATTTTTCAAGATTTCATCTCATCTATGAAGAAAAGATAATGGTAATAAATGATACTGAAGGAAATGATTGAGCTTTCTTGCTGCTAATCTGCAGATTTTACCCATCAGTTATAATTTTTTTTAAGTTGTCAATGGACCTTTATATTTATTTATTTGTATGTGGTGCTGAGAATCAAATCCAGTGCTTCACACAGGCTAGGCAAGTGCTCTACCACTGAGCCACAACCCCAGCCCAATCAGTTAAATTTTTGAGGATGGAAATGAGTGTGAATAATAAATGTTATTTCAATTGCTGTGTCTTTCTCAGCCATGATTATATGCCACAGTGTTACGATGATAAGCCCAGGAGAAAAGACAGATAAACGTCTAACATCTTCCAATGGGGAGCTCAAATTCACATTGGTAAATTACAATGAATATACCTCTTTTATTTGAGGACCCACCACAATCATTTATATGACCATATGAATTAGAAGTTGATTGGATCCCCCAGAAAAAGGGTGATTATTATTTGTAATTTCATAATAAAGTTATCCCCGAAATTAATGATTTAAACCCACAGTTTTGTGGGTCAGGAATCTTGTCACTGCCCAGCTGGGTAATTTTTCTGCTACATGTGATATAAAGTGAGGTCACTTTCTGTATTCAACTGGTGGGAAGGGTGATCTGAAGGACCCAAGGTGGCTTTTCTCACATGTCTGGCATTTTGGTGGAGTAGGCTGGAAGGCTGGGATCACCTGAAATGTTCAACTAACAAATCTACATGTGGCCTTTACGCCATAGTAACCTCAGGACTGTCAGACTTTATATCTAGCTGCTCTGGGTTTTCAGAAAAATTTTTACAAAAGGATAGACTGAGAGCTGCTCATATTTTGAGATGGGATCAGAAACTACTGCAGTCTCTATTCTACTATATTCTATGAGGTATATAAATTACAGAACACACAGCTCCAAGAGGAAGGAACAGGGGCACTTTGTCTTCAAGGAAGGAGCAACAAAATTTGTGGCTCCCTTCAATCCAAAACTGATACAGGAAAAAGTAGCCAGTGTATTTTAAAAGTAAAAGTTGCTAAGTTATACTCTATGTATATATGATATATCAAAATACATTCTACTGTCATGTTTAACTAAAAAAGAACAAATTAAAAAAAAAAAAGTAAAGGTTGCTGTTCAATAGCTGAGGTCCACATCCCGCTTCCTGCCAGTGGGAGCATCTTTTATTCATTTTTTAAAAACTTATAAAATGCCTCATATGTTTAGATGTTTTATGCACCAAGAAAATACAAAGAAATAAAATGGAGTGTTATGTGTCATGACTGATGGATTAATGGACTATGAGAAAAAAATAAGAAAAGGAATTAAAAAGAGAACATCAGGGAGTGACATGTGCTATAAAGACGGGCAGTGGGCTGGGATGTGACTCAGCGGTAGAGTGCTTACCCATTTATTTACAAGGCCCTGGGGTCAATCCCCACTGTTGAAAAAGAAAATGTGTCTGTCATTGAGTGGGTGGTCATGAGACCGTCCTCTAAGGAGCTATCGCTGAAGCCGGGACCTGAGAGATGAGAAGGAGGCAGCTATGGGAGACCCCAAGGGAAGACCAGGGCAGTCAGAGTGGAGGTGCAGAAGTGAAGGGGATGAGGTGGTGCATTCTGCTGCGGCTTTCAGACTAAATGCTTGGCGTTCCACTTCCTCCACAGAGCAGTTCACTGTGCGCAGCTCCGCGAGCCACAGGGTGGTCACGGTGGGCGCACAGACAGAGTTCAGCTGCCAGCTGTGGCCACCCCAGAATGCACTGCACATGGAGGTGGGCTGGTTTCGGAATCAGTCCTCTCCGCTGGTTTACCTGCCTGCGAATGAGGAAGAGCGCTCTGGAGAAAGCACGCAGAACTCTGCAAATCCCACGTTATTCCTGAAGGACGCCCTAGAAGAGGGCAAAATATCCCTTAGAATCTACAATATCAGTATTTTTGATGGAGGGCTGTACCACTGTTTCTTTAGGGATGGTGACACCTATGAAGAGGCCACTGTGGATTTGAGGGTGGCAGGTAAGACTAGAGAAACCTCATCTCCAGGTTTCCTTGCTAATGCCATTCTGGGTCCACAACCCCAAATTCATGCATGGGAGATCCTGAGAAAATGATCTTGGGGCATTTAAAAATATTTATGACAATAATATAGCCGAATAGTAGAATTTATAGAAAAGTTATGGTGAATAATAGAATAACTGAGATACCATCAATTATATTATACATATAATATATTACATTATATTTTTATATTATATTTTCCTTCTGATCAAGTTAAAGTCACTGTTGTATTCTTCAATAGTGCCATTCACTTTCTTCCTTTTCAAGAATAACCATTAAACTCACATTATGTATCTTTTCATCTGGTTTATGTATAGGCATCAATAAAAATAGATGTTATTATTTTTTTGTGTTTAAAAATCTTATACAACAGTGTCATTATAAATATTCTAACTAATCTAATTGTACTTAGTGTGTTATTATTGATATCAGTCCAAGTTTATCCAAGTAGATGCAGCTTACTCTTTTATCTGCAGTATTGTATTTCACCAGGTAAGTATCTAACCATGGACTTCTGTATACCAACACTTGTGGACATATGCATGCAGAGAAGTTTCTTTTCTATGCTATGCTGTTATGTTGGGTGTGAGAGTTCCTTTAGAATATAGAACTAGGAGTTAAGTTGCTAGGTTTTTGTGCATAATTTTCTTCAAATTAGTTTCACAAATTGCTCATTGAAATAATTAGGTCCATTTGTACGGGACTCAAGTCATGAAAACACTATATCATTATGGATACTTGTATTATGCTTTTAATTTTGCAAGTTTGATTTTAGCTTTGACTTTTCTCATTAGAAAACTTTTGCTTATTTCTTTCTTATTTGCTGGAGACTAGATTTTGTCTGTTTCTTGCTTATTATCTTTATCAATACTACTATTGAGTTCTTTGATTTTTTTTCTTGATTTATGGGAATTAATTTTAATCTAGATATCAAATTTCTGTTTTTTACATGATGCAATAATTTTTAGTGTATTGATATGTTTTACAGACATTTTTATGGTGAAAGATATAATCTGATAAAATCAAATTTACAGTTTATCAATGATGGTTTGTAATTTGTGTCCTGGAGCCAGCCACACTGGGGAGCTTTAGTTACTTTATGGCTTCCAATTCATGGTAATGTCAGTCCCAGTTCTGTTCCTTCTGAACATTCCAGTGGCAGTGAAGTGATATGTCTCCAAGGTTTTCTTTGTATTTGCTGATGCTTTGTGATGTTGAGCATATCTGAAGATACTTGTCGTTCATCTGGATAGCTTTTAAAATCAAATGCCTCATATAATCTTTTGTCGACTGTAAAAATTAAGTTTGTCTGTCTTATTGATTAATGGCATGTTTCATATATTTTGGACACAGTTCCTTTCTCAGATGTATTAGAAATGTCATCTTCTAATGGTCGATTTCTTTTTAACTGCTTGTATATTGTCTTTGGATAAACAGAAATTTAATAAATTTTGTAAAGTCTAATTTACCAGTCTTTTTTTCCTATTGTTCATATGGTTTGTGTCCTGCTAGCTTAGATTTGGGTTGGAGTATCATCCTTTCCCTACTTGTGGCTATTTTCATGAAACTTATGGCATACCTAAGAAGGCCCATTGACTTCTCAATTCTTGAGTCCACACTGCTAATTGTAGTATCACTTCTCTCTCTTCTCCCCAGCTATAGGCACAGACATACAGATTAGTGTTCAGGTTTCTGACACAGAGGGGCTGCTGGTGGAATGTGACTCAGGAGGGTGGTTCCCACAAGCTGAGATGACGTGGAGAGACAGCAGTGGAAATACAATTCCACACTCATCAAAATATTACTCTCAGGATGGAACTGGATTATTACACCTGAAGATGAGTGTTCTTCTCAAAAACAGCACCCATGGTCCCGTCACTTGCTGCTTTTACAACCCAGCCACTGGCCAGGAGAAAAGAGCAGGTATTGTCATATCAGGTGAGTGCTTGTGGTGGGGTTTATAAAGGAAGAGCTGTTTTAATCAATGTGTCAAAATAAGAAGGAAATTGAGTGAAATAATAAATGTTAAATTGCTTGATAAACTATGAGCTTCTGCAGACCTGTACTATTTAAATCATATTAAATTGCTAGGAACAAGTAAAATACCAGACACTGAAGGGGATACTAATAAAAGTACAAGGTATTGACATGATTAGAGAAAGAGCTCTTATTTTTTGTGGCATGTTAAGGATTGAACAGTTCTATGACCATTGATATTTCTAATTTGGAAAAAAAATAACATGTGTGGTATTTTGAGCTTGAAATTAAACATTGTGAGTGAAATGGTTTTATAAGATGTAAATCAGTATGCTTAAGTGAGACTAAGTTAAAAATTATACATGGCACAAGTTGACTTCATTGCTACCTTATGAAGAAGCAGGCGGGTAGAGAAGTCAGTTACTATAGATCCATTAAGCAAGTGACAAACCCAGGATTAGATCCCAGATTCTCATCCATGATTCAAGGCTTTTTTTTTTTTTTTCTGGGAAGCGATGGGTGTGATGAGTCAGGTTGGAAACAAGCATCATAAAATTGTGCCCTTTGTGCTTCAGTGACTAGGTGCAGGAGCTAGGGGACCTAAGGTGGATGGAAAGGATAAGATGTAGAAGGAAGGAAAGGGCCCAGCAGCTCAACTGCTATACAAGAGGACTCATCCCCACCAGTTCAGACAATGGACTGTCAGATAGCTCACAGTGAATGTGGCTCTACTCCTTGAAGCAATTCCCAAACTCATTATTGCTGAACCATCCTAGGGGCTTCAGTCCTCATTTGTGTGGTTAAATCGGCTTTCATTGTTATAACCTTATTCTAATTCTTGGGAGTGAGAAAACAGTACACAAATTTCTTTTTATATCTAGAAGTTGCATATATCACCCTATTTCTCTTCTAATGGCCCAAATTAATTTCTATGGCCAACTTTGAGGTAGGCTGTTGTATATAGTCTTTCACTTAGTGACCATATGCCTAATAAATATTTCTGAGTATGGGTCATGAACCCCTTAAAAAAACCTAGAAAACCTGTTTATTAAGCACAGATAGGTTTATAAGAAATAATGCTATAAGGGAAGATATTATCTGAGCAGAGTTTTATTCATATCCTCAAATGGGGATATTAGGAGAGGGGATTTATAGAATTTTAGAGTTCCTTCTAGATAGTTTAAAGATAGGTCTTGCAAGGTGGGAAAGTGATTAGATAGCTTTGGACTGGTGAGCACAGATAAAAGTCCTAAAGTGTCTTGATGAGCCAGTTGTTAATCTTGTTGAGGAGGCTACTCGGGTTGATTCACAATGTTACCTCCCAGGAACAAGTGTTTCCTGGAGCCAGTAGCCAAGTTATAATTGCTCATTTTCAGTTGTTTAACATAAAGATAGGAAAGTAGGACTAATACCCAAACTGCTTACAACAAGAACAAGAAATTATTAGGTCTCAGTATTGCTTGACTCAGATACAAGGATTGTTTTAGTTTCATTTCTTAAGGGATACTATTACCAAAAAGGAAAATGGGGACTGTTCCTTGAGAAAGACACCATCAGTGTCTACCAGGGGGTCCTGGGAGATGAGCTCAGATCGATTTTAGCTCTATTGTTAGAATGCCACAAAGAGAAGGTAACGGTTAACTAGATCCAGTTTATAAAGGCTCAATATCAGGGAATTATGAAATTATCCTTTTCCCTCTCAGTCAAGGAGGAACAATGAAGAAGAAGATGAAACAAATCTTCTAAGCCCTTTATCCTGTTCATTAAAACCCCACTATAGATGGGGTTTCGTGAGGGATAATTTGTGATCCAAAATGTTCTCCTTAATTAACTCATGATTTCAATATTCTGCTCGACTTCATTGGGACTTTACTTCTGTTTTCCTTTCCTATTTCTGTTCGGAGTCACTTAAGCTTCTGAAACTGGACAAGAACAATCAATGTTGTTGAAGCTAAAATGTGAAGGTAGAGTCTGAACTCCATGATGATTGATTTTTCAAAATTTGAATCAAAGCCTTTCATAAAATGAAAAAGCAGGTTCAGTCATGGTGATAGATAAGTTAAGGGAGACTCTTTTTTTTTTTTAAATATCATTCTTTAGTTGTACACAATACCTTTATTTTATTTATTTTTATGTAGTACTGAGGATTGAACCCAGGGCCTCACATGTGCTCTATCACTGAGCCACAGCCCCGGCCCTTAGGGGAGACTCTTGACAATGAAGCTGTGTTTTACTTGTTTTTTTTTTCCCCCTGGTTGTTTCTAGAATCCATGTAATCCTCAAGTTCCTATAGTTTGGTGCTATTTTATTAAGTTATTCTGGTATGCCTCAAACTATTTATTAATTTAAATATACTGCAATAGTTATTTTGAGTTTTGTATCTGAAAACATCTACCATACAGAGGTATTAACTGTATGATTCTGTGGTTGGTTGGTTGGTTCATTTGCTTTCAATCTTTCCTTCTTCATTCCTTGGGAAAATGTCTCTTTTAATAACATTTTATATATAAGTCTCTTTAAATTCCTCTAGTGATTGGTATATAAGAATGAGCCAAATGCTAACTCTTTGCTCTCCCTATTTTCTGGACTTTGAGGAATTTGAGTAGTTACTTGCAATGTCACCACTAAGCAATTCACTCTTACTGATTTTTTCCAATGTTTTGAGTACAATATTAGGCATCCTCGTCTTGGGAGAATTTTTCTATCATATTGGTCCTACAGGAAGTACCTAAAAGGAATTTAATACTGAATGTCAGAAGACTTTCTTAATTTTAATTCTTTATTATTTTAGAGCTCTTATATTTTTATGAAACTTCTTTGAGTTTTACCAGTGACACTTCTGATCCAGTTCTATAGGCAATGACTTCCTCAGATCCCAGAATCCTGTTCTAAAATTTCCTCCATCTCACAGATTACCCACTAGAATATAAGAACCAAAACAGTAAGTTATTCCTCTATCCAATCCTGTTTCATCCTTGGCCCAATAACTGCCAAGTCCTGTTCTTTCCCCAGGTCCAGCTTCATTGGCCAATAGCCCTCACCTAAACCCAGAGTACATAATATCGAGGGTAATAGGGACCTTACGTGCAGGTGGATCCTGCTTCCATGTACAATGGAGTCTTATGATCCTGCTGTTTTACTTACCAGGTACTTCTGCTCTCTCTTTCAGATATCCTGTTGAAATCAAAGTGTATGTTTTGGTCAGCTACAATCGCTCTGATGTATGCGATCATTATGATCCCTGTGTTGGCTCTTCAGTGTTGCAGAAAAAGAGGTATTTAATTTAGGAAGGATAAAGCATTAAAGAGCTCTCATCTCTTCTTTACTTGATACCAAGTGTTTGGAGGTGGTGATACAAAACTGTGTGAATCTGCATCTTACTGCATGCCACTACTGTGTTTGCCAAAGGGGGCCTCCTTGTCTTGAGCCAGGTCTCAGACTAAGCTGCTGCCCTCCCTCCTCACATTGCTCTTCAGAGTCAAGACACTGCCACTGCTATTAAAGCTGTGACCACCAAGATCTCCTGGTCCCTTCAGAGGTCATTGCTAATTTCCTCCCACTTTCTGGACCATTTCCTGGAATATGAAAAATAATAATAGATCTGTTCTCTTCCTTAGGCACCCATATATTTTTAGACTTTTGCTCAAAGAAAAAGAAAAATGTAAGAACCAATTAACCCAATTCTTGGTCTTTCTGTGTCTCTTTTCCATTACTCTTTTGTTCTTCTTGTGAAATTAACCTTAATATACACTCTTCCCCCCCCCCCTCATTAGGGGCTATAAAATGCCACCTTAATTTCAGGGAGCTGAGAGAAAGCATGAGATACAATTGTGAATGGTCTCAAATAGTACTGGACATTAGATCTTTAGACAATGAAAGATGAGTAACAGAAGTGACAGGTGATAACACGCAAATTCCATCACCTGTCACTGAGAGAAAGGTGTTCTAGGCTATTCTGGATGGAGGATGTGATGGACAGGAAACCTCTGGGAGGTGATCCAATCTGTAGTGAGGTATGCACAAGTCAAAGGATAAGGTGCATTTTGGGAGTTACTGAGCGAGACTTACCTTGATTCAGGAAACCGGGCTAAAAAAAGAATAGAGAGTGCATCTTGGCTAGTCCTCTATCCAATTCATAAAGACCTCCACAGATTTAAATGAGTATTTATCATGTGCCAGAAGATGTAATCAACAATTTATCATCCATATCTTAACTGATTTATTAAGATAAATTTATCCCTATAAAAGCAGGTCCCATTTATTATCATCATCTTTCAGATGAAGACATTAAATAATAATCAGAGTTATTAGGAAAATTGTTCAAACTGAAGCAACCTATAAATGTGGATTGAAACCTAGATGTGTCAAAGGTCAATACTTTGCTCTGCCAAGTAGGGTAGCACATGCCTCTAAATCCAAGGGCTGGAGTGGCTGAGGTAGGAGGATCACAAGTTCAAAGCTGGCCTCAGCAAATTAGCCAGGTGAGACCCTGTCTTAAAATAAAAACTTAAAAAAATGACCTGGGGATGTGGCTCAGAGTAAAAGTGCCCAGGGCTTCAATTCCTCGTACCAAACAAACACTTTGATTTTGTAATGGCAAAAGGATGCTTTTCTCATCAGAAGATATGCGGTAGCAAGACCTACTTTGCATACTTAAAGTGATGGAGAAGTCACTAACTCATTAGAACTTGACTTATTTTTAAAAGTCATTCAACAAATGTGTATTGAACATCTCTTAGATACTAGGCACATCTAATCTCAGTGCCTAGTTTCTAAGATATATTAACAATAAAGCAAAGAGGGAAAAGATAAAAGTCTTTGCTCTCCTAGAGCTTACTTCTAGAATAATGTGAAAAAAGTTCTTTCTTTTAGAACTTTCCTGGCAGTGATTGCTGATATCTGTGATAAACAAAATAAACAAACCAAAAAAGAAAACCCTGAAGTAACTGACATCTCCTAGAAAAAAAATCACATAGAAAACTATGAACTAAGTTAAAACAAACAAACAAAAAGAACCCATAGTCTTTTCTAGGTTTTTTTTTTTTCATTTCAAGTATTCATTGTTCCTTGCAATATCTCAGAATAATTGATCAATCTTGCCATTTTACTTTAGGTTCAGTAAATGAATAGTTTTTAAAAAACATCTAGCTTTATGTAGTAAAAATAAGGAGAGTTGTCCAACCTTGAAATGATCTTTCTCATACTGTAGTATGAATGTAGGTATTCAAGTAAAGATGGAATGGCTAAATACCAGGGGTGCTGTAGAGAAGATTCTGGCACTACACCTTGCCATTACAACTGTGAAATTCTTGAGTTCCAAGGCTCTTTTCTCCTCTTTTAGCTAACTCCAGGTTTCCCAAAACTGCCTTCGCAAAACATTAAGCATTCAGACATGTTACCGTGAACCAGAGTCCCACACTCTCTAGGTCTTATTTCCAGGTTGATCACATGCTGTACTGTGTAGAACGGTAGGAAGAAACTCTTCTTCCTTACCCTGGTCTATCCTCAGCCCAGCTGACCGTCAGTCTTGGCCTCATCCCTAGTGCTGGGATATATCCTCACACATAGTCCTGCCTATCAGACCTGAGCCCTGACATAGGTTTAGTAGACCTCAATGAATAAAGCCTCAGGACATTTAAGTTTCTTGAATCCTGCGTATATGTGGCTATTTCAGTGCATTCCCCACGTCCAAGTTACCTAATTCTCCATCTCCTCCACTCTTTTTCAGTTCTACAGAATAGAAGAACTTGCTTTCAAGTTGTGCTTCAGGGTCTTCCTTTAGTGTTACACGTGGCCTTCTTACCTCTCTACTTCAGGTTCAGGAGCAGAGGTAAGTGGGACTGGAAAAATGAGATTTTTTTAGTTGATGTCCTTCCTGTCTGATACCTTTTTACATGCACGTTTTAGATAAAGTTGAGTGGCCTTTGTAGCAGTAACAGGATAAGGAGTCTGGATTTAGATGATGTCTTGAGGTTTCAGTTGCTGCCCACTCAGCTGTGTAAGGACCAGAGTTTTTAAGCTTCTCTCCTGGATGTTTGTGTTTCCATTACTACTCAAATGGTAGCACACAAACATCAAAGGAAAGATGTATTTTGTCAGGTCTAGAAGCCATCTAATTCAGAGCCATTTACAAGACAAATTATTAATGTCACCTATGCATTGGCACCCAGCCAGTAATTTATGACTGTTTTTGGTTTAGACAGAGGTCTCCTTTGAAATATTAATTTAAAAATCCAAATGAAGAATATAACTTGATTCCTGATTCAGTTTCAAGACTATTGAAAGTTATCATTTGGTCCTCTTGACTATGTATTCAGAGGCTATTTAGAAGTGCAACTATACTATATCATATACTTTATTATGTTAGTAATTGTTATGTTTAACAATACCCTTAACTTGTTTGCCTTTACTGAGAAGTGTTTACATGGGACAATGACTATTAAAGTAAACGAAAGGAGCTGTTATTATTTGCAAAAGCTTTACCTTCATTCTTTAGACAAAACTGGACCAGATGTTAAACAGATTGCTTTTTCAAATTTAACATATATTTTTTGAGTTGCCAATAACAAACCTTATTCCAAACCTCAAATCTTAAATGAGCCCAAAAGACAGGTCCACCAGGATTGTCTAAAAAATAGCAAGGATGAGTAAAAATGTATAAGATATAATTCTATTTCTAACACTATGGAGAACTCCAAATCATTCTTTTTCTGACCACATGTGCTATAATATCTACATATGTATGTATGTGTGTACATTTCTATCTATCCATTTAATTTATAATCTTATATATCTGTCCAACTATCATTTTCAAGTTGTTTTGAACCATTAAGAAAATATTTTGAGTAATGGAAAAAAAGAGATATAGGTTTAGTCAGCTTGTTTGCTGCTGTGACCAAAAGATCCGACAATAACAATTAGAAGAGGAAAAATTTATTTGGGGGCTCACAGTTTCAGAGGTTCAGTCTATAGATGGCTGACTCCATTCCTTGGGGCATAAGGTAGTGCAGGACATCATGTCAGAAAGGTATGGTAGAGGAAAGAGGCTTAGGACATGGTACCCTGAAGGTGGGGGAGAGTAAAGGAAAGGTGGGGGACTCCCTTTACCACATATGTGCACCAAAGACACAATCCCCAGGGACCCACCTTCTCAGTCACATCCTACCTGCCTATAGTTACCACCCAGCTAATCGCTATCAGGGGATTAATGCACTTATTAGGTTAAGACTCATGACCCAATCATTTCACTTCTAAACTTCCTTGCATCTTGTCACACATGAACTTTTGAGGGATACTTCATATCTAAGCCATAACATTCCACTCCCCAAAAGCTCATGCTAATCTCCCAATGCCAAATACATTTAGTCCATTTTCAAGAATACCCATAATCTTAACAGTTTTAGCATTGCCCAGAAGTCCAAGTCCAATACCTCTTCTGAGGCTCAAGGCAAACTCTTATCTGTGAGCCTCTGTAAAAATCAAAACCAAGTTGTACATATTCAATATCTAAAGGTACAGAGTAAACATTTTCATTCCACAAGGGAGAAATGGCATAGAAAGAAAGGATGGGACCAGAGCAAGACTGAAATTCAGTTATAGGCCCTGTAACTCTACAGCCAGCATCTGGAGCACATGGTATTGTGATGTTTTCTCCAAAGGGCTTGGGTAGCTTCACCCCTATGGCTTTGCTATTTGCAGCCTAGATGGCCTCACTCTTGGCCTATCTCTGTTCAATTCCTGCAGTTTCCTTGGCAGACAGTCTGTGGTATTGGCATTTCTCAGTCTTGGGAGTCTCCTCTGCAGCTTCAGCTTCCTTCTTACATCTTCACACATCTCCTTCTTAAGGGCTGCCCATAGGGACTCCAACCCTGGGGCACTCTGCCTGGCTTCCCAGGCCTTCCTTTGGTGAAAGCCTCTATACCCCCCAACCCCAGCATCCTGCATTTCTGTAGGGTTACTGCCAAGGTCTGCTACCATCTTAATCTGAAACCAAGCCTCCATGGACACTGACTGCAGCAGCTTCTGAGTGTCCGGGCAGCTGAGTATGGTCAAACAACTTCCTAGGTCCCCCTGTGCAAGTAGGGTGCCCCACCGATCTCTTCTCAAAGAATTTTTACTTTTACAGCCTTCTGAGATGGGCATAGTCTTGTCAATTCCTGAGATACCCTTAAAACATCTTTCCTACTATTTCTGGAAAAGTATGTAGAGTTTCTTTAGTGACAGTAGTGTTTTTAACCACCATGCCTTCATTAGCTCTAGTTTTGCTGACAGATTTCTGGCCAAACTGCAAGTGTAAAAATGTTTTCTGCTTTCTACTCCTGATTACTACAATAAACTTGGCTAAAAGCCACCAGCAATATCTCGCAGAAAGTCTCGGGAGACAGGCAGAATGTAGACAACTTCTCATCCGGAGCAAAACATGATGGCCTCAAGTCTATATTCCAATAGAGTCCTCCTTTTCCTCTGAAACTTCTTGAACCTAGTCTTCATTGTGCATGGTCCTATCAGCATTTTGGTCTTCTGAGTTCCACCAGCCTCACACATTAAACTCTGCTTACAACAATCTAAAACTTTCTCAGCTTGCACTGATATACTTTTTGAAATTCCTCCCACATATTCTGAAAATCTCCCAAATCTTCTGAACCACATGGTCAGGTTAGTCACAGCAATGACTCCACTTCTTGGTACCAATTTCTGTTTTAGTTAGCTCTTTTTATTAATCATATAATAATATGATTAATGCACATGAATGTATTAATCGGGTGGTAACTGCTCATAAATAGGATGTGGCTAGAGGAGGTGGGTCACTGGGGCTTGCCTTTGGGGTATATAGTTTGGGGTATATAATTTGTCCTTGGTTTAGTGGAGCTCTCTCTCTGCTCCCTGGAGCTGTGACCTGAGCTGATTTCCTCTGCTACACCCTTCTACCATGTTATTTTGCCTCACCTCAGCCCCAGAGCAATGGAGTTGGCCATTTAAGGACTGAAGCCTCTGAAACCATGAGCCCCAAATAAACTTGTCCATCTCAATAATGTTCTTGATAGTTCTTTTGGTCACAGTGAAAAATCTGACTGAAACCATACCAAAGAATACCAATAAAAGTACCCTTACCTTGATAATTCATAGATGTAAACCCTCCTTCAATGAGATTGAAGTCATTAAATGGGTAAAACTTGGTAAAATTTAGTATTTTAAAGATAAAGCCAAAACTGATTGACTGCCCTAAAGGATATTAAGATTCAAGAAAAATTGTCAAAGACAACTTTTAGTTTTTGAGATTTTGTGTTCTTATTACAGAAGGAATATAATTAGATTTTAATTTTTCATCTTATTTGACAATTTAAATGAATTGCTTATGTTTTTGACATTAATGTTTCAATAACATTAGTTTGTGTTTATTTCACATTCCTTTTCTTTATACATGCTTCCATTCTTTTTTTATGATCATTTTATTGAATATTTTTAATCATCCTGGTTTTGCTTTCATAATTTTAATCATTCTATGTCTTTTTACTTATAATGGACATAATTTAAACAATGGTGCCTATCATTTAAGCAGTTTCTTTAGAAAATCCATACAAGGAGGAAGAGGAGGAGGAGGAGGTTAACTATCATGTCCAAATTCAATTAATATCTTAAGTACTCATAAGAATAATAAGACCTTGGACTAGTTTCATAACATTTAACCTCCATGGAGATATACATTATGGTTGTTGAGGATTTTAATTATGTATTTAAACCTAATTCATGGTTATTATAATTGCTGTTTTATATAGAATCATTTATATTTATCCATCAGTATATACTTAAAATATTTTATAACATTTATTCTTTCTGACCTGTTAGAATTTACAAATACTATCACACTATCTGGTGGCCTTTATCTCATTTTATTGCAATAGCTATTGGATTTTAGGTTGCATTTATTTTCTTCCAGTGCATTGAACTTATTGTTTCACTATTTTGGCTTCCACTGTTCCTGTTCTATTGAGAAGTCTGATTTCAGTGTACTTGCCACTTTTGAATTCAGCCTCTATTGCTCTGGAGATTCAAAAGACTTTTTTTGTGACTTGTGAATTTGTGTGTGTGTGTGTATATACTTGCATGCCTCATTGTGGGATTATTTTTATTTTTCATAGTAACTATCTGTTTGGTTCCCTGATTTCTGCATTAGTATCTTGTATAAGGGCTCAAAAATTCTTAGCCATCATTGTTTTACATATTTCCTTTGCTTTCTTTATCTAATTTTTCTTCTTTAACAACTTTTATATGACCATTGATTGGAACTTTCTATTCTATCTCATATATTTTCTTCTTTATTTTCTACTTTTTCTTTCCATATTCATGTTGTTCAACATATTGTCAAGTTTACTAACTCACTCCAAAATTGACTAATTTGTTGTAGAATTTAGACTTTGAATTCTCAATTTCAAAAATTATGTTTCAATACATAATTTATTAATGCATTTTCCCATTACTTAAATAGATCGACTTTGTTCTACTCCAATATTATGTTGCATATTACAACTTCCTCTTTCATTCAAATTGCAGTTGCAAAAAATGTTTATTTATCCAACTGCTCAGAGTCCCAATATGTTATATCTGTAAAATTTCCAGAACTTTTTATCTTTACAAATCCTAAATGAGGACATAAAATAAATAAGAGTATGTTCTTGGTTAGCTATGGATGAATGAATAGAAATGACGTCTCACAATTTGCATTATAGCTCAGGTCAAATTACACATATCATCTGACTTAAACTATCTACTCTTGTCTCATCATGTCATAAAGCCTAGAGTAACTGTTCTAAATTTGATCTCTTCCTCTTACTAAGTAGGCTCCAACATATCTGGTTTCTTAATTTGTGCATGTTTTCCAGTCCCTATTTTCTTTTTTTTAAAAATGTACTGTTTAATTTTTTTCTTTTTTTTTTCCAGGCTTTATTTCAGATGACCTGTACTCATTGTATTGTGGATGGATATGGGATCTATGCATAATGTTGACTGTATTGATGGTGTTTTTCTCTGTGCTTATTCTCACTCTACTTAACATATCAACAGTAAGTGAGGCAGTGAGGGTGGGAACTCCACAAATGTATCTCCCATACCTCTACCTAAATCCCCTCGGTCATTAGACTTCATTCAATGAAACTTCTGTTATAGGGTCAAGTAGAATATAGAAAAAAAATGGTGGCTTGGGTTATCCATGTTTCTCTCTACTTTCATAAGCAGACTGGGACCATTGTACAATTTCCCTGTGTTTTCTTAAGTGTTGTAGGATCCACTAAATTGCAAAGCCCTTCTTGTGAAAGAACACATAAATGTGAGACTATAAATTTTGCTACCCACATTTAAGATTAATTAACACCAGAGAAAGACAGAAAGACCCCAGCCCAGCTATATCCTGCTGGTTCAATGTTGAATGCTGCAGATCCACAGGAAGGCTCATATTGACCCCTCCATTGAACTCTTCCTTCAGCTAACCTTATGACATGGTCAGGTAGGCATGTGTACAGGGAGTGGAGGCATACTTCTGAAATCATGAGCAATTCTCACGTGAGAGTCACATATCAAACAAACAAACAAACAAAAAATAGGTGCTGTGGCATAAGAGCCAGGCAAGTCTGCCTCACTAACATACGTGTGTTTCATACCCGTCTTGTCATGGATTCACGCTAATCAATTACCCCCCTAATCAATATGTTTTTTACTTGTGTAGGACTAAAAAAAAAAAAAAAAAGAGTCCCTTTAAGGATGTGAGGATTATATAATGAGAAAGAGTGAAAAACCACATCTAAATTTCTTGTTATCTGCCCTTCAAAGCCTGGAGAAGTTGGGGAAGTCATACCCAAAACTTCATAAAGCAAATCTCAATTACTGGAAATGTCCTCATTGTACTAGAAGTTTTGTATTTAATTCTAGAGACCTTTCCCCCAACATGAGTCTTTTTAAAAAATACTTATTTATTTTTAAGTTTTAGGTGGACACAATATCTTTATTTTACATTTATGTGGTGCTGAGGATGGAACCCAGTGCCTCGCATGTGCTAAGCGAGCGCTCTACCACTGAACCACAACCCCAGCCCCAACATGAGTCTTATAACAAAATTTTAGTCTCTTTTATAAGCATTTCCTCCAATCCTGGATATTGAAAGTATAAAAAGATAGAGATAATTGGGCATGTTGTAGAATCTGAAAAATACTTCTCCCCTCTTCTCTTTTGGTCCTTTTCCTCCTCATCCCCCCACTCCTCCTCCTCCTTCCCCCACTCCTCCTCCTCCCCCTCCTCTCACTCCCCCCCTCCCCCACTCCTCCTCCTCCTCACACTCCTCCTCCTCCTCCTCCCACTCCTCCCACTCCTCCTCCTCCCCCCCCTCCCCCTCCTCCTCCTCCTCTTCTTCCCTCTCCTCCTCCCACTCTTCCCATTCCTCCTCCCTCCTTCTTCTCACCTCCTCCTCCTCTCCCTCCTTTTCCTCCTCTTACTCCTCCCTGCCCCTCCTCCTCCTCCCTCTCTTCCCTCTTCTCCCCCTTCTTTTTCTTGACATGGCCTCGCTATATTTCCTAACCTGGCCTCAAGCTCACAATCCTTCTAGTCTCAGCCTCAGAGTAGCTGGAACTTCAGACACATGCCATTATGCTAAGATAGAATCGGGATTCTTGAATCTTCCTTACCCTCTAATAATTGTACCAACAATATTTCCAGGGAAATAATGAACATAAACAATGTTAGAAAAATCATCGCTCCTTAATATTGGGAACTTTCCTCAAAACAAAGTTAGGGGTCAGTGAAGTAGAGATTAGGCACACTACTACTTAAATCTGAGTTAGGTCTGAGACCATAAATTAAGATGGCACCAAATAACATAGATCTATAAGCCCATTGAAGGCTTGGGCCTGTTGAGTTTACTAAAAAGTCTAGTCCAAATAGGCTCAAAATCAGAAAGCAAAAGGATAAAACAGTGTTTGCCCCAAAGAGATTTATATTCAAGCTCTGCTTCTTTCCAGGGATGGCAATTCACGTAGAAGGCATGTGTACTGGGAGGGATGCCATACCATCCAGATCTTTAGCAATTTTTATGTAAGAATTTCATGCAAATAAAAGAAGAGCAGAAATTACAGTCTAAAATGCAGAGAAAAGCAGGGCTTGTGTTAATACAGGCTTGGTTTATTCCCTTTTCTTGCCATGGTTCAAGGGTTTTTCTTTCTTCCTCAAAGAAAATAAGGTACATTCTAAATTCATCTCAAATTGGAAGTGTCCAAAAGCCCCACCAGTGCTCTAAGCCTGTGGAAACGGGTGTCCCTTTCTGAAAGGGCTCCATTATGGAGCATATGTCTTATCTCTGGTTTGTTTTTAAATCTAGTAATTGAGGAGGTTCTGGTTTTCTTTACCTGAACTGCAATTGCCAAAGGAATGAAGCACAGCTGTGATATCCGAGTTCACATTCTACTTCCAAACTAGTACCTCTAACTTCTTTCTTGACATTCCAAATATCCTCATTGAATTAATTAGTATGTGTAATTAATACAAGTTAATAAAAAACAAAAATTCTATCTGTCTTGAAGGGACTCTACTCCCTTTTCTAACTTAAATTTTATAATAGCAGCTCTCAAATTAGCAGCTTGCATGACACCTTTCTCAACTGTATGCATCTCCATCCTCTCAAAATTCCTTGAGTGACATAAATGATTTATAAAAAAAAGATTGGTGATACTGGTTTTGCTACAGAATTTAACTGTACAAAACATACAAAGTTTTTTTTCTTTCCTCTAACTGTGTTCTGTAGATTTTGCTTTTCATCTTTGTCAGATGTTTTATGGATGCCAGTGAGCTCCAGCATCACAGATCTCTGATGTAACTCCCTCCCATTATGTAAATTTAATTAGGTTTGAATCAGTAGCGATGCAATAACATCTATTTCTTTTTTTTACAGATTTTTTCTAATTAGGAAATGAGTCTTTTCATCCGAAACAAAAGAGGCTGGATGACTGTAAAAGAGATGATATAAAACTTTGAGGAAGAAGCATTTTGTACCAAGAACCTATATTTTTTAGCAAAGCCAAGTAATCACCAAAGTGTGGGAGAAAAATAAAAAGTTTCCTGGAGACTCAAATATTTCTAGAACATATTATATGAATGTCTTATTTACAAAATTTTGAGATTATTTATGTCAAATATAATTGCTTCATAAGAATTCAAGCTGTGTTAATACCTAATTGTAGGAAAAGTGATAAGCTAATAAACAAATGTTTCATAAAATCTAAACATTGCCCTGAAATAGTCAAAACATATCATAATCAGAAATATAAATAAAATGGAACCTCTGGTTTTCAGTCTGAGACTCAAGTTGAATGAAATTATAAAATAGAAGATATTTGTTTTTCAGGCCATAGGCTTACAACTTAAGAATAAAAGCAATTTTAATCAAAAGAGATGGAAAACAAATTCCTGGAGACTCATAGAATACACCAATATTTACATTAGTATTATACAGAAAGCATAAATACTATAGATAAAGAAGACCACTACATGTTAGCACAAGGTGTCAGTATTTGAAATTTTTAATATCTGGTTTGCATGTGGTGCTATCTTCTTGAGGTTTCAATTTTTTTGTATTCCGTTATGACTGCTTATCTAATCTAGTATAAAGTAGAGGGGAAAGCAACACTTTTAAACATACTACACTTGTCTAACTCAGTGCAAAATCAATCCAAGGCAATTTGTAAATGTCTACATGGGAGTTTAAGATAAGGACCTATTAGAAATTAATCCAGGACATCACAGAAGAAAAACTTGATGTGAAACTAACACTAGATAAGGATTTCTGAAGAAGGTAAGTTTTGAATTAGACTTTTAAGATAGTTTGTACCTCAGGCTTACAAGAGAAAAATAAACCAGGCACCTCGTGGTTCTAAGGATTAATACTTTTGCTAAGAATGGCTTGTTTTAAGTAGTCTTGTCTCTCTCTTGAGTTCTTGGTGTTTTTAAAAGCTTATGGATTAGAAGAATTAATATGGTCCAAATGTCTGTACTACTGAAAGTGATTTATAGATTAAATGCAATCTCCATTAAAATATCAATGACAACCTTTACAGAAATAGAGAAGTAATTTTAAAAATCATATGGAAGCACAAAAAAAAAAAAAAATCACATAGCCAAAGCAATCTTGAGCAAAAGGAACAAAGCTGGAGTCCTCACGAAACATGATTTTAAGACATATTACTGAGTACTAGTAACCAAAACACACAACCTGGTATCAGGATAAAAACAGACACATAGATCAATGGAACAGAGTGGGTTTCTTTTACCCCACTAAGTCTTTTATCCAGAAATCTGTGCATCTGTAGTCAATTAATTATCAAGAAAGTTGTCAAAAACATATTGGAGAAAGGATAGCATCTTCAATAAATGATGCTAGGAATACTAATACTAAATATACATTATTCAGAATATTGAAACCTCACCCCTATTGCTCACCCTGTGCAAAAATGAGTTCAAAGTGGGTCTAATACCTAAATGTATGACTTAGTGTGGGAGGCCATCCTCGCAGGTGATTTGAGTTACCTCCCTGGCTGGGTGAGAGGCGCTTAGACACAGCTGTGTCAGAGCTTTCCCCACCCTTCTCCAGGTCCAAGGGCTTGTCTGTGCAGAGGCGCGTCTGGCCACTGCCTCAAAGACCCAATCGTTGCCCCTGACCTTGGGATGCTGCCCCTCTTAACCTTCATTGGATGGGATTTTCCCTGGAAGTTTTTGTTCCCCAATAAAAGCCCATTCCCTCTCTTGCTAGTCTCTTCTGTAAACCTCACTGCAGCATTAGGTGGCTGGAGGCGGGAGCTAGGAGAAGCCGTCCTGGAGCTGGTATTAAAGGTAATTAGAGTCTTGTCTCTTTAATTTAAAACTCCCTAGCAATTACTCATGAATTGAACCTTCTTTCATGAAGCCAGCTCTGGTCGCGTGGTAGACCTGAGACTACAAAAATATTGGATGAAAATATCTTAAGATGTTGGGACAGGCAATGATTTTCTGGATTGGACCCCAAAGCACAGGAAACAAAATAAAAGATTGACAAACAGGATTATACCAAACTGTAATGCTTCTATATGGCAAATTAAGCAATCAACAGAGTGAAGAGATAACGTACAGAATGGGAGAAAATCCTTGCCAGTTATTTATCTGTTAGAGAATTAATATCCAGAATATAAAAGGAACTCAAAAACTTAATAGCAAAATATAATCCAACTAAAAAAAATGGGCAAATGATCTGAACACACACATCTCTAAAGGAGAAATACATATGATCAATAATTATGTAAAAGAATGCTCAATACCAGCTATAAGGGAAATGCAAATTAAAACCACAGTAAGATGTAGTCTCATTCTAGTTACAATGATTATTATCAAAAAATAAATAACAAATGCTCATGAGAATGTAGAGAAAATGGGTATTTTATACACTGTTGGTGGTCATGTAAACTAGTACAGTCATTAAGGAGAACAGTATGGAATTTCCTCAGGAAACTAAACAGAGATCTACTATATGATCCAAAATATATATCCAAAGAAAATAAAATCAGCAAGTCAAAGAGTTACCTACACGCCCATGTATATTGCAGCATTATTCACAATTGCTAAGATATGGTGGAATCAGTCTACGTGCATGACAACAGCTAAATGGGTAAAGAAAATGTGATGTATCTACACAATGGGATAATACTCAGCTATAAATAAGAAGGAAATCCTGTCATTTGCAGCAAAATCGATGTACCTGGGAAACATTATGTTAAATGAAATAAGCCAGACACAGAAAGACAAATATCACATGCTTTCCCTCATTTATGGAAAATAAAAAAAGTCAATCTGACTTTAGAATTGTGATTAATAGGAGCTGGGAACTATGTATAGGGGTGAGTGGATAAAAGGAGGTTGGATTTGATGAATGCATGTTGTATGCATGTATAGAACTATCTCCCAAACCCCCATTGATATTAACAATTAATGAGTTAGTAAAACATAAAAAAGATTTCTTTTTCTTTTTAGTTGTAGATGGATACAATACCTTTATTTTATTTATTTGTTTTTATTGGTGCTGAGAATTGAACCCAGGGCCTTACATGTGCTAGGCAAGCACTCTACCACTGAGCTACAGCCCCCAAAAGAGAAGTTTTCTTTTTGAAGTTCCTTTGTGAGATCTGCATGGTTGGATTGGAACTAGGAACACAGTAACAACATTCTTTGAGAGACAGTTTAATGAGTTGAGAAGTCAAGTGCTTTATTCAGCTGATTCTAGTGGTTTCCAGAAGTCACAGAAATGGGCACTTACTGGTATTTGTATCATGAGATGCTTGGCTTTCATGTAAGACTAAATTTTATTATAATGAGAATGGTTCATTCAATATAGTAAGATTTTCAGAGTAAGTTGAAATGCTTTTATATGAGTATAAAGATACATCAATTACTCATTGTTTTTCATTGAGCCTGAAAACAACTATGGCTCATACAGTAATTTACACTTTAGTTTTAAAAATATATGAAATATTTTAGTTGTTTACATAAAATTCAAAATAACAAATAATGTAGAAAAATTTTTAAAAAATTTTTAGAAAATATAGTTTACAAATGTTTTTTCCCCCATTCAATAGGCTGCCTTTTTATTTGTTGATTATTTCCTTTGCTGTGCTGAAAAGTTTTAGTCTGATAGTCTCTTTACTTAATAGTCTCATTTATTTGTTTTTGCTTTTGTTGCAATGCTTTTGGTGTCAAAAAAATATCAATCAAATGTAAAGAAGTTTTTTCTCTAATTTCTCTTCTAAGAATTTCAATCACTTCAGGTGTTACACTTATGTATTTATTTTCTTTTGAATTGATTTTTGAGTGTGGTGTAAGAGTGGCGTCCATTTTGTTTGTTTGTTTTGGTACCAGAGATTGAACCCAGGGGTCCTTAACCACTGAGCAACATTCCCAGCATTTTAAATTTTTTTTATCTTGTGAAAGGGTCTCACTAAGTTACTCAGGGCCTCTCTAAATTGCTGAGGCTGGTCTTGAATTGCAATCCTCGTGTCTCAGACTCCTGAGTCATTGGGATTAAAGGTGTGTGCCACCACACTTGGCTCTTTATTTTACTTTTTGATGTAGATATCCAGTTTTCCTAGAATCATTTATTGACAAGTCTTTTCCCTATTAGGTATTCTTGGTAAAAAATCATTTGACCACATACTTGAGGGTTTATTTCTAGGCTTTGTATTTTGCTCCATGGGTTCATGTATTATTTTATATTATTACCATGCTGTTTTCATTACTATAGTCTTTTAATATAGTTTTACTCAAAAAATGTGATGCTTCCAGATTTGTTCTTTTTGCTTGAGAGTGCCTTAGTTATTCAGGGTCTTTTATGGTTTTGTATGAATTTTAGAATTATTTTTCTAGTTCTGTAGAAAATGCTATTGGTATTTTAATAGAAATTGGATTGAATCTATAATTCAGTTTGGGTAGTACAGAAATTTTTAACAGTATTCATTCTTCCAATTCATGAACATGAGATGTCTTTCTATTTTTCTGTGTCTTCTACAGTTTTTTCACCAGTATTTTATAGTTTTCAGTGTATATACGTTTTATCTCCTTGGTTAACTTTATTCTTAGATATTTTATTCTTTTTTTTTTGTTCTGTTGAAACATCAATGTTCTTTTTTGGCAACAAAGAACTTCAATTAGTTAGATGCAGTTCTGTTTTTCATGCACAAGATGAGAAACAAGATAATAAATAACATTAAATCAACTTGTATGGTACATCATCTCCTTATTGGTTATTAATGAGTTCTGATAAAATGATTAGATAAAGAAAATGTAGTACATATTACACAATGGAGTATTACTCAGATATAAAGAAGAATGAAATAGCATTTGCTGGTATTTGGAATTGGAGAGCATCATGCTGAGTGAAATAAGATTCAAAAAGATCAGGGTTGAATGTTTTGTCTTATATTCAGAAGCTAGAGAGAAATAAGAACTTTCTAAAAATCTCATTAAAATAGAAGAGAGAACAGTGGAGTAGAAGAAGGGAAGTGATGGGGAGGAGGAGAAATGGGAAAGGAGAGGAAGGGAAGACTGAAATTAATAAGTATATACACGCCCATATCATAATGAATTCCACTTTTGTGTATAAAAGTGGAATTTTAAAATGTACCACTTTAAAATAAATCACCTTTTTTTTTACTAAAATACCAGTAATTTTATATGTCATTACTGAAATAGAACATCCCTTACATTTTATCAGTGGTCTCAGTTGGGATAAAGTAGTAATATAAAAAACAGTGAACTGAATTTTAAGAATATGACTTTCACCATGATAATAATTGGAAGCTATTTTGGACTGAGCAACTCCTTGGCTGTCAACTGGTACCAAGAAGGCAACAGACTTTAGTTTTTCGAAGTTTCAGATAAAAGCGATCATGGCTTCTTTATATGTGCATCTCTCAGCTATTTTAAGGCACTTATCCTCTATTTTGATAGTTACCTTTTCCTTTTCTCTTTCTTAAATGTTAGTAAAAGCGAAATAAATAAATTTAAATTCATTAAAAGTCCACGAAATGACTGGTTAGCATTACAGAGAACTCTTTTACATTCACTACCATATAGTTTGATTTTCCTGCAGTATCATCTAATTCTCTGCTGTTACATACATGAATGATTTCAACATTTTACCTATCATGACATATGATCAAATTCTTATTCAATTGCCAACTAAACATCTTTACCACAAACTCATCAAAATCTATGTACAGAATTGAAACACTTTTTCCTTTGATGCTCTTAAATCTTCTTTTCCTCCTGTTTTTATATCTTATTTATTAGTACTTCTATCTTTATAATCTCCCAGGATATAAATCTGGGCACTGCTGTTAACTTTTTTATTCCTCCCACCCATTGCCCAGTACTAGCAATTAAACCCAGGGGCACTCTACCACTGAGCCACATCCCCATTCTTTTTCATTTTGAGACAAGTTCTCACTAAGCTGCCAAAGCTGGTCTTGAACTTGTGATCCTCCTTTCTCAGCCTCCTCGGTCACTGGGATTACAGACACGTACCTCTATGCCCAGCTGTTCCTTCT